AAGGTTGTGATCCCTCAGGTGTTTTTATGTTGAGCCGAAGATTTTATTTTTTTCATGCTGCAGCCAGAATACCAGGTTGTAATGTAGTAGGTGATAGATTCAATGGCTGGCATGTTGAAGTTCATTGTTAACTGTTTTTACATTTTTTCAAACAAGTCTGGAGTTTCTCCAGCCCGTTTCTGACTCCCTCTGTACTTAACTGTAGTTTATCTATGTAAAGTCTTTGTGTTGTATAAACTCAGAGTATTTAGAGATTCACACGTCTTCATCTGTTCACCATAAAGCTTAATTGGGAGATGAACATCAGGCCTCATTTTTTTTTGTTTGAATTCAAGAAAATACTATTGATTTTATCCATTCTTTTTCAATTGTCATGTAGATGGTGATAATTTTGCCTTTCATGGTTTTGGTTATGTTGTGCTTTACTTTGCTCCTTGTTTTCTAGTTTTATTGGTTTAATTCCTATTTTGTTGTAGTTTCTAGATTTATGTTAGTTCTCTGGTTTTTCTGTTTTCCTCTGTTGCCCTCTTGTGTGTGTTCCTTTCCCCTTGGCTCCCTCGTTGTCTCCTCACACCTGCTCCTTGTCAGCTCGTTAGCCCTGCCTTTGTCTGTGACTACATATACTCTCCCTCTGCAGTCACTCCTTGTTGGTTCCTTGTTGTTGCTGGTCCTGTCATCGCTGTTGTCGTCTCACCTCGTCTCTCCCTGGCTCCATGTACGTGTTTTCCCTTGATGTCTCCATGGTTCTGGTCTGTTACATTTTTAGTTGGATTTTTTGGATTCCTGCCTTCGTTAACCATTTTCATCAATAAAACTACAAGTATTCACCTCTGCCTCTGCATTTGGGTCCTCCAAACCACAACCAAACCCTGACACTTTCTTAATATGTGTTGCTAAACTTAAGACTCCCACTGAAACCCTGGTCAACAATCGCCATGTAACAATGAGCTTTTTCTACCTGTATATTTGTTGGTTAAAGATAGCAGTTAAACACAGCATCTAGTTTTGCAGTTTGGTTTATGTTGGTTTGTTTTTAATGCAGTAGAATTTATTTGCCGAGTGGCTTCTTTGGTAGGTCTCATCTTGTTTTCTCTTTGTAAAAACATAAGTTGAGTTCACGTTACAATATCGTATTAATTGTCAAACTCTTCCTAAAAGAGAAACTTGTATACTTAGGATGTAAAATGTGAAAGTTAAAGGGTTTAAATTGTTTTTTGTATTTTTTTGGCCAGTGGGAAAGGCCTATTGGTAATTCTAATGATTTTTGTTTAACCAATCCGATTAGAGAGAAAGCGGAGACTCAACACAGCACAGTCTCTGGTCTATCACTAAGAACATATATTTAAGATTTGAGGATTAACTTGTCATGGCTGGTTCAGTCTAAGGATGCAATTATGTAGAGGGGTGATATTAACAGTGAGTTTCTTGACAAGTGATTGTCTATTTGGTACAGATGATGATCCAGCACTGGTTTGCCACTGGTACCCGCTACAAATGCTCCTTTTAAGTACATACTTCTATGCAACATCCATATGAGCAATATCAAAACGACATCCACTGCCTAAAAGAAGCATGGTATTAAACTACTGTATAATTTGTATGTCATGTAAACAGCCCTGTAAATTGTTCATATTTCGGTTTACTTGACTTTAGTTTGCCTTAATACGCGTAACTATTTACTGAATATCTGTAGTAAGTAAGATTCGAAAACAAATTGAGAGTGAAGACATTGTTTAAATGGTAAACAATTAAAGCGCCAGAAGAATGTTAGCAATGATATTAAAAGTTAAGAAACCCTTGATCTAACTGAACTATAAAGACATTACAGGTGGCTAAAAGATATTGGTAAATTTTATGTCTACCTGACCATCAAATCTTCAAATATTAAAAAAAAACACCCTACCCATTCAGACTGAAGGAGAAACTATTTTCATTCATTCACCCATACAAGTTTCAGTAAAACATCAATGAAAAACGATCCTGTTCCTACCAAATATGAACAATGAAAAATCATCAATTTGAAAATGTAATTATATAAATTAAAAAGCCAAATGAAAAACATAAAAACATTACTTTCTTTAAGTGGAACGTAAATTGAATCTGATCTTGAATAGTCTTCTGGATTCCAGCAGCTTGACATATAACTGTTAGAGACCTCACTCTATATAAATCATTCAATCAATGTATTAATAATGCCATTTGTGGGTAGACTGTACAGACTAAGCATTCCTGGCATTGCCATCACTACTATCAGTATTGGTAAATTCTCAGACATCAATTAACTTCTTTATGCTCCCACAGCTCTAATTTCTGCTTCACTACAATGCTTCCAGGGCGCTGTTTTAGAATGCAGGAATCGGAAAAACTCAGAATAAGATCGGGGTAAATCCCTGCATATCCTAGATTTTTTGGTTTCAGAAAATTGGATAGCTGTTATTCAGAGTCAAGTTTACTGCAACATACTAAACTTATTAAGAGTGTGTCACACATTCAAGCTGAGACCTCATACAAGAAATGTTAGAAATTATGTGGCCTTTACTGGAGGATGCTGTGGAGGTTGGAGAGCAAATGCTAATTATGCACAACTCAATCAAATGTATTTTCATGTCTGTATTCAAAAATGTTTTAGCATTTTTCCAGCAAATACTTTATCTCATGAACATTTCAGCCACCGGTTGTTCATGACAAAACAAGGACAAATTCTTTCTTTCTGAATTCATTTTTAAACTGAAGGCAAACTGTCAAGGAAGTAGCATTAAACTCTAACCACACAGTGCAGATGCCAATTAGATCAGATCAGATATCAGATCAATCACAATTTATCAGTGATGTCAGCTTTCTCTGCTGCGTGGAGAGGAGTGTCCCTGCTTGAAGTGCAGTACAGCACATGGGGGTTCTTATGCAGTCTATGATAGAAGCGATTATAAAGTCTTTTGTTTGCTTTAATTATTGATGGCTTTGTTCGTTTTTTTTTTTTTTCATGCAGCTTTGCAGACAGTCAACTCCAAAGAACATTTATAGAGTAATTTAAGTCATCATCATCCCACCTGCCACCCCAAACACACACACACACACCCATACCCATATATTTCTGTTAAACATATGTAATGTTGAGGATAAAATTTGAGTTCTCTAAAGAAACTCACATACGCTTTGAGAAGTCTCTTCCATTTAAGTTTTGTCAGAACAGTATTACAGTTAGTGTTAAACATGTTTTGATAGTCTCCATATGCTGCCATTAATATTTTAAGTTCCACTGGTAAAAGAAAAATGTGCACTTCTAAGCTTCTAATTTCCTCTTTTTGGCAAGGTGGATTTTATGTTGTGTATTCAATTGAGGAGACCTTCTTATTATGCTTATGTTTATTCTGAAATTCATAAATGTGAGTACTTTGTCCCATATTGATACTGTGTTTAGTTTATTGTCAAGTACATAAACAAAATAAAATTATGAAGAATATTATCCTATTTAAGATCTGAATCTATTTTCCATGATCTAGAAGTACTTAAAGGTATAGTGGAGGATATTTGTAAATTTTTGAAAAGACCCACCCTCTCCACTGGAAAAAAAAAAACACAACCCTGCACCCTGTCCCGAGAGGGAATGCCTATTAAAAATTTGTGAGAGCGTGCACAAGCCCATTTCTCCTTGTGCACGCTCTGTTTAAAAGTTGCTGTTTGCAATGCTCATACAAGCTTACTTTCCAAAAGAAGATTTGCTATTTTTCCACTATGTCAGACCCGCCACCAGTAAATGAAATGGGGACGACCACGTAGGACGGCCTTACGTAAACATATCACCAGGATGATTGACAATTAGGATGACCACCTATTTTGATGATCCACCCAGAAAAAGAACATCCTCCACTATACCTGTAAGGGTTAACAATGACATTGCTGATACACAATAGCGTAAGGACACAACAATAGGCCTGTAAGCAACATCATCTGGGTGGGCCCCATATGAAGTACAACATGTGCTAAAGGTTCAGGATATGGCGACAGTTCCATAAATAGGCCAAGCAGATACAATTATGCAATTCTCAGTAGTATATGATCACACATTACACTCGGAAAAATAGTGACTGTGCACCTTGAATGGAACCAATGGTGACAGCGCACCACCACAGGTTACAGTCATCCCAAGTTTCAACACCCCCCTCCCTCTTTGGTTCTTTGAAAGAACATGTTTATTTTGGGAAGTTTTTTCCGTTCCCCCAGCAGCTCTTCTTTCCTTTTTCTTTTCTGGAATCCGATTAAGTACTTTTTGGTATCCATCATCGCTAACACATTGTACGTAAAGGTTATGGTTTTAATCTACGCTCTGGGTTACCCATAATTTCAAGTCGTAGTGTAAAAAATAAAGTACTCAAATACATTATATTGCGGTTTGAAACATATTATATGATTGTATTTTTTTTTACCAACCGTCTAATGAACTATACACAGTTATTAACATAGTAATTAAAAGTAACACTGTCTGCTTTGCTATTGGTGTCTACTTTGCTATTGGTGTTGTGTTTAAATGGCTCACCATCATGTTGAAATAAGGTCCGGTGCAGTCAGTCTCTTCAGAATCAGGTGGGTTTAACAGGATTTTTTTGCACCGTTACATCTGTAAAGAGACGTCCTAGTCCGCAATTGCGTAGGGGGCCTACCAGGTGTTAGTAATGTGGCTCCTAAGAGGTTGTGGGGCCGTAAGTAACTGCTTTTTCTGCTTACCCATATTTACGCCATAGCTGATAAATGTTGCTACCGTTAGGTACAAAATCAAAACTGCAAAAGTAAGAAGTGGCATGAAGATAAATTGATCGTATTTCACACTGGACAAACTGATCTTTAGCCTTGAAAACTCACAAAGATCTTAATCAAACTTTACACATTTTGTTTAAAATTGAATTAATCTGGCAAAAATGTTTCACTCACACCTTAAAAGTTTTGTTGAATGTAGTTCAAATGGGCTGAATTCAAAACCAAAAAGTACTTTAAAAAACACTTACATTATGACTTTGCTTCTTGGTTTGCTCCACTGGAATATTGATGTCTAGGAGTAAGTTGAATCGGCACAATGATTCAAGATTGGTCCACTCTGTGTCTGAAAAAGACAATAATAATAATAACAATATGATCATGCTATCTAACAGGTAAAAATCCTAATCAAACTTCCTAACACCCGGTTGTAATATTAGGATTCCTACGTATAAAACTAATACACTCTATTATTATGAATTGATGTTTTTTTAAGTAAAAATTGTTTATGAACAACAAAAAAGTGATAAAACGACTTAATTGTTTGCTGAACCTAATGCTCAGTGTCCTGAACCCATTGATTGAAATGGACATCTTTTGGTCTTAAGTATTTTTCAGCTGTAAAGACAGACATACATTTTAACATGTTATGTATATCGGGGTGCAAAAGAGCAAGCGCAAGTAGCAAAGATGAAACTTAATTGAAATACAGGTGTCTCAACCTAAGTAAAGCTATTTAAAATCACCAGCAATTGTTACATATAATATGAAAATGAAAACAAGCCTGTGGAAAGAGCTGTGGCAGTTAAAGTTTCAGCACAAATCGAAATAAACAGACAGGAATAGAAAGACTAGGGCATGTACATTACGAAGGTGCAAATGTTTTACTGCAACTTCTAAACAGGAATTGTGTTTTGATATATTTTTTTTCTGTTTTGTACTAAGTAGTGGGGGGGGGGGAAGTATTCAACTATTTGCTCCAGTTAATTAAATGGAGATAGATGGATTTCATTGAGTCGGCACTTTATTTTAATCTTTGCAAAAAGAGAACAGTTCAAACAGCCCTTGTTGCACGGTAATCGCCCTGTTCTGCCTGGGCAGCGTTCGTTCCCCCTTACTTACAATAATGGAAAGTTGTCAAAGTCAAAATAAATTACAAACAACTTGGTTAAAAAGTAACATATTATGAATAAACCTTGAGAAAGAAGCTGTTTTTTTAATGTGAAGAAGGTATGTCTGGTCTACAAACAGCCTCAAGCAGGGGAATTGTGTGGCCTTGCAGGTGAAACAGACTGAGTGAAAACATTTATAGTGGGTATATAGCATAAATGAATATATGTAATAAGAGAAACAAATTTTTCCGACCAAAACTATTGCTTTTTTTTATTTGGTAAAATAATGTTTGAACTGTTTAAAGGTTAAAGGTTTGTAGTGAGAGTCAGAAGTTTTAAAATGTAGTTTGAAAATTGTGTTTGTGGTTACATTCAAGACCCTAAACTATAACCACAAAGTCCAAAGCTCTACATTTTGGATAATTTTTTAGAAAATATCCTTGAGAGTACCAAGCAAGTATTTACATTAATTCCCATTTTATTTTATGGTACAAAATTGTATTAACCTCTACTGTGGTGGAAAAAAAAACTCACTAGTAAAGCTCCTTTCACTTGGCTGCCATTTACCCTTGTTTCACCTTGTTCTTTTCATTCTCAGCAGCCTCCTCATCATTATAGAGACCATAAGTTTAAAAGAAAGAGTTCTACCCTCAATCAAAAGGGAAGGATCGGTACAAAACCATCCTTTCACCGAAAACCATTCTGTCCTTTTTTTTCCCTTAGCTGCAGAATGAACCATAATGTTTTTGGGCCACCTTTAGCACAAGATGAATGAGTTGTGTTAGTAGAAAAAAGCTAAGAGGGGGGAGGTGAGGAGAGGAGAGGAGAGGAGAGG